TTCCAGAACATGTTGCAATGTCCGCATTCGCGGCCGAATATCTTCGTCATGCCGGCGAACATCTGCGCATTTTAGGTCCGCTTTCGGCTTTTTGTCTCCTGTGAACTGGATCCAAGAAAATTCGTGCGATAAAAATTCAAAAATTTACTCGCATAAGTGTATTTTTACGTCAAAATTAATGTAGCAGAGTATTTTTACGAAGTTTTTATGTTGTATAGATATGTTTAGTTATAAATGCTTAGTTTTTATTACACTCTGCTCTCAAAAGTTACAGGTCGATCTCTTTTTATTATCCCAATTTTTGGCGAGATTTGAAAAAGCAGTGTACAAGGGGGGGGGGGGATCGCGCACTGAAGGTTCGCTAGTTGACACATATTCTCGGGCGTTTTCTTGGTCTTCAGGAAATCAAACATCGAAAATACTCACTGTTTTGTTCATTTTTTGCAGACAATGATCCGCCGGATGTACATTTTTTACCGATGAGCTTTATGTATTTGGCATGTACACCGGAAGATGTTGAGCGATTGAAAAGAAACTGGAAAGTACAGACGTTAGTTGCTAAAAATTTTTTTTGTCAGTTTCATATACTATTTTTTAAGATTTCTGTTTTTTTTTTGCGACATCGAATGCGTTTTTGTGCTGAAACAGTTGCATAAATTGTGCATTGTCGAAACCCTCTGTGTGTGTTCCGAGTGCATTTTATCTGGAGGCTTCAAACCGGGAACCGAAGAAGCTAGGAAGCTGAGGTTTTAGTGGAACTTTCTCCGCTCACCCAATGATTTATTCAAACGAACACTGATGAAAAGTTATGGCATAGTAGCAAGTGGCAGTGCTATCGCGTTGAAAAATCAGAGCTTTGTTGTGATAGGGCGACGATCAGTCCTGTGGTTGTGTTTTCTCATTTCAACTGTGAATTTTTTCTGGCACATGTCGATAATGATCAAAACTTCCATTAGCACTTTTGCAAGAAAGTCTCGAAAAAAGAACCTGCTGGAGGGCAGTTTCTTTTCGTATTTGCTGCTTTTCGAAGTATTTTCAACTTCCTCTACCGTCCATAAATGATGATTATGGGAGGGGTTGCGAGGGTGGAGGAAGGGGGGAGGGGCTTCGATAGTGATTTAGAAAAGCATTGATAAGAGGGTCCTTTTCAGACAGCATGGTGCACGAGTTGATTTGCTTACTCGTGATCAGCTGCGCGAACGATTTCCATTTATCAATTTTGATGATGTTTTGCTTGGATCATGCGGTACTTTTTGATTTTTTCCAATTTAATTTAATGCTAAATAATAGTAACAATAATAATAATATTGTTAACTACGTAATGAAAAGCAGAAGTCAACAAGCGAAATTCACCGGTTTGGG